ATAGGGGAGGGGGGGGGACTTTGTGCTGTCAGAGTGCCCTTAGAAGCCATCACTTTGACTCGTGTGCCCTTAGAAGCCATCAAATCAGAGTGCTTAAAGCCACCAATCAGAGTGCTCTGAGCCTAATTGCAGAGCGGGGCAAGGCTTTATAAGCCTTCCTCCGCCCTGCAGAGCTCAGTCTGCGCGAAGCTCTCCATGGGTGATGTTGTGGAAATAAGGTCTACACATATTTCCTAGTTAGTGAAAAATGTCTATTTACTCATTTCACGATATATGTATAAAGCTAAGCACACACGTTATAATTAAGATGGCTGCTAGAAGCTTTTAGCTCCTTTCCTCCCCCCCCCTTTCCCTTTCTCCTTCCTAACATCGACTAACTACCTCGTGCACCAAGATGGCGCCGGGAAACCGTGGGAGACCCTCATGGCCCCGGTGACATCACCTACAGTAGGCAGAGCATTGAAGCAACCACTTAACACCTAACCAATTATTGATGTATTATTCCATGTTATCTCTGACAATGCTTATGATGTAATTTTGCTTTAAAAGGGACTTGCCGTCCCCCCTGAATAAACATTCCTCAAGTTATTCAACAACCTGGAACCTGTGTCTGGTGTGAATTACTTCAGGGAGCGTGCACGCATTGTTTCATTGATTTGGCCAGGGGCAGATACACAAAGAAATAATCAATACTTTAATTGATTTTTCCATTTCAATTGGCGCCCAACGTGGGGCCACCGGAGGGCCGGAATCCAACGGACCGGAGCGGACCTCCGGAAAGTGGGACAAGCGGAGCCTGATCACCTCCATAATACAGCCGTTGCCTGTGTTATTCTCCTGTTTTGTGTCGGTCTGTCTCCGAGTCCACTTCCGGCTTCCAGAAGGCTACTAGAGACAGGTAATTAACTCATCCGGTGTGCCTTTTAAGGTGAACCTGTCGATTGTCTATCTGCCTCCTGTATTTGTTTGAATGTGTGTGACGGCCGGAGTGTGTGTTTTCCCCCTTTTAAAAGACGATAGCTTGACTGCCTAGCGGGCAGGGAACGCATTACAGCCGGTGGGGCTGGGATTTTACAGCCGGTGGGGCTGGGATTTTAAGTTAGCTTGACTGCCTAGCGGGCAGGGAACGCATTACAGCCGGTGGGGCTGGGATTTTACTGCCGGTGGGGCTGGGATTTTAAGTTAGCTTGACTGCCTAGCGGGCAGGGAACGCATTACAGCCGGTGGGGCTGGGATTTTAAGTTAGCTTGACTGCCTAGCGGGCAGGGAACGCATTACAGCCGGTGGGGCTGGGATTTTGTTTGTTTATTACTGTGCTCTCATTAATACTTGTGTTATACTGGGACCAGCCTGGTGGGTGAAGGCTGAGGATTGCTATACTTCGTTTATTCAGCACTGGTGTCATTAACATGTACATGGCCATTTTACTCTCTGTCATTCTGTGGTTCTTGTTTAATTGTTGTTACAGCGTGGGTACCCTTGGTGTGTGCGTGTGTATTGTGTGGTTAGTTCTGGACTCCGGAGTCTATGCTCATTTATATGTTTGTGATTTTTGCAAATGTCTTCTCATTAGCGCAGCCACGTTCATCTTTTCTTTTGTGCTTTATCTCTCCTGTGCCTGTTGCCCAGAGCTGTGTTAGTCACCCACGCTCATTCGCTCCCGTCCGTGACCACCACCCCGGGTGGGCGGATCTCCGTGACTGGTCTACGTTTGGGGAAGACGCACGGGGCTCAAGTTCTCGTGGCAGTCGAGCACTGTAGACACTCCTTCTCCCCCCCCCTTTCTTTATACCTCCTCTATCCATCTGTCTTTAACGAGTGGCACGCTTTGTTTGGTCAAGATGGGGCAGGATCATGCTAGACCTGCTAAAGGCTTATTGGCTTGTGATATTGTGAAAGAAAGGGCAGGGGAAGATGCTATGATGAAACTTAAAAAGATTGCTAAGGTGTGTGGCTTCCAGATGTTACCCAGTGGGAGATTGCAACCGGAGTTTTGGAGAAAGCTACTCATAGATAAGGAAGGTTTATTGTTGGATAACGGACTGACAAAGGTTGCAGAGGCTTGGTATCGTGTAGCCAGAGGTTTGAAACGGGAAGGATGGGTCGAGGAAGAGTTGGAATTTGAAGGGCAAATTGTGCATGTTTACCATAGGAGTGTTCACAATGATGATGTAGTTTCCATTGTTCCACGGCCACCACCCTATGATGGCGCCCAGAGCGCAACAGTAAATTCCCGCCCTGCTTCTCCCGTCACAGCTCAGCCCCCACCCCCCGGGGGTGTGCCTTCAGCCCCCACTCCCCTATGTCCCGTACTCGGTGTAGACGGAGCTTACTATTTCTCAGTGCCACATCACTCGTTCCCACCCACTCCCATGCCCCAACCCTCCTGTGACCAGACCCCCTCTTTCAACCATCATTCCGTCATGTCCATCGGAGCCCCCCCACCTCCATGCCCTTCGTTACCTTTCCCAGCGCCAGTCCTCACCCCGAGCACTGCCCCGACTATTCCCGCCTCGACCATGGAAGTTCCATCCCCCTCCTCTTCTCAGTCCCTCTCCACTTTGAGTACCCCTTCCCTAGTAGTCCCCGCTCCTTCACCCTCTCCGTCCGTCCTACGCCCCCCGCTCCTACCTACCCAACCGACCCCGTCTTCCCGGACCCCTGTCCCCCGGTCGACTCTCCTTCTCCGGTATCCTCAGGAAACCCCGTGACCCCTACCCCTGCACCCCCATTGTCCTCCACTCCTTCTCATCCCCTCTCCTCCTCCCCCTCATCTTCCAAAGATCCCCCGTCCCTACTCTCCGCTCTCATGAATCTTGTTCAGCCCGTTAGTCCCGGTTCCTTTACCTCCGGCCCCTTATCCACAGATACCCCTCCCATCCTCAAGGATCCTCTCACTCCTCCTCCGGCGTTACCTCCTCCTGAAGCCCCAGCCCCCTCTGCCTTGTTGCCTCCTACTCCCGCGGCCGATTTGCCGTCCCTGATCTCCGCCCTCACCACCCTAACCCAACCTCCCGTCGCCATTCCCCCGGCCTCTTTTCCCTTGCTACCACCCCCAGACATCCCTGCCCCCCCGACCTTGACACAGGCCCTTGGTCCCGTCCCTCCGACCCTTTCCCCCGTGACCCCTGACACACACATGACCAATGACCTGTCCGGCTCAATATCCGCCCTCTTCACTGCTGTTACTTCCCTAGTTACTTCCGCGATCCCCGTACCGCCTCCCATTGACGTACCTCCTCTTCCTCCTCCTCCTCCCCCCGAACCTCCGACCCCACCCTTGTCTCCTGCCGAAGTCCCCGAGCCCTCCGATCCAATCTCCGCCCTTGCACATGTCCTAAATACACACCTTTCACGCCCAACCCACCCGGCCCCTGTGACAGCCCCTTCCACGGCTTTGGTCCCTCGTGTCCCTTCCGCCAGTCCAAGTTACCCAATCATGGTGGTTGGATCCGAGGTGTCTGGGACATCTGACCAGCCCTATGCAATGGGTGCCTCCCCCCAGGCCTCGGGTTTCCACCCAGTTACCTTACCTACCACAGCCCTCCCTGTTGTCCCCGCTACAGCTACCCCTGAGGCTACCCTCCGCCGTGGCCCAGTGTTGCCCGAAGAGGTTGTTGTGGTTGACCAGAATTCACCCCAGGTGGGGGTGAATAGGCTCCCCCAACAGCACACTATCCCTCAAGGTTACATCCCGATCAACCATGGTGCGGATGGTGCACCGCCTATGTATGTTACCTTTAACCCTTCCCAAGCTGCTACCCTTGTGACCTCACTCCCTGATCCTGAAAAACACCCTATGCCCTTTTTCCGCCGGATGGCTCAGATCCGTAAAACGTACTCCGCTGCTTGGCGGGATCTTATTAGTCTATGTGAAATCAAAGCCGGTGATGCATACTGGCCAATCATGGAACGGAGCTTTAATGACGCTCCACTTACTTCTGATACTGACTTTCGTTCTGGTGAAATCTTTTGTGAACAGCTTCGAGCTTGGGCACAGGATAAACTAGCAGATCAGGCTACTTGCATTAATGACATTATACAGGACAAACTTGAGACAGTTGAGAAGTATCACTCTAGGTTGACTCAGACTTTTTCAGACTTAGGGTTTAGTACTTACAACAAAGCACACACCCAGATGCTATCTGCAGCCTTTGTGGCAGGGCTTAGAGAACACATCCGTAAAGGGTTAATCTTAGCTCGGCCTGAGTATAGAATTATTCCACTGGACACTCTTTTGCTGGTTGCCAAGGGCTTAGAATCTGTTTTACTACCTACACAACGTAGACCCAGTCCTCTGATGTATGCTACCTCCACCCCATTCGCTGGTCCAAGCCAGGGTCCTCAGATGCTTCCCCAACAGTACACCCAGCCCCCCCAGACACTGCCTGCACCAATTCCTTTCTCCCGTGACCGGTCTGTCACGACAATCCGGACCTGCTTTAATTGTAATCAGCCAGGTCACTTTAGAAGAGATTGCCCACACCCTAGAGTGTTCCGCCAGCAGACTCCCCGGTACCAAAATCCACATGTCACCAGTTACAGTTTCCCCTCCACCGGTTATCTCCCTGCCCTACCCCATCCACAGTTGCCTCAGTTACCTCCTCCACCTCCTCCCCCTCCGCCTCCTGAGTACTCCCAAGCCCGGCTCCCCGCAGCAGAAGCCCGTGCATACACCTCGCCCTCCGCTGAAGGGTATGATACTGATGACTTCCAAGACAACCAACCTCATCCCCGCCATGCCCTCCGTCCATCCCGCCCACCCATGCATACTGCTAACCCTCCCTCCACCTCCCGCCGGTACCAGGGACCAGATCAAGCCCACCTAGATTTATTACAATAGGTAACTGGCAAGCCTGTGTCAGCAACCCCTGCCATGGCAGTGTCTGCGGGGGATGGAGGAGGACCTTTAGCTACTGTAGTTCTCCCCGTGGAGGGTCACCCAACCACCTTTTTAGTTGACACAGGTGCAGCCCGTAGTGTCCTTAGGGAACAAGACCTGCCAGACCCTTCCTTCCTATCTGACACTGATGTCTCCTGTGTTGGGGTGGATGGTACACCACGCAGTAACCCCCTTACCAAGCTCTTACATGTAGGCTCACATATCCTGTCCCGTTTTGTTGTTTCCTCCACCTGCCCCATTAACCTCCTAGGTGCCGATGTTCTCTCTCGGCTCCAGGCTTCCATTACCTTTACTGCAGATGGACAGGTTGAGTTGACAACTCCCTTATCACAGAAGGATACTTCTGTACTCTGCTCACTCCCAATTTTGTTGAATCTAACTGACAATACAGGGAATGCACGGGTCACACACACCCCCAGTGCTCTGGATCGTATCCCCCAAGAACTTTGGTCCACCGGCCCGGATGATATTGGACGCTTACATGTACCCCCCGTCCTGGTCCAGCTCCTGCCTGGAGCACTTCCTCCTCGTAGACCCCAGTATCCTCTGAAGCCAGCACAAGCTGAAGCCATCACCAAACAAGTTGAGACCCTGCTTGCAAAAGGTGCCCTCACCAAGTGTACATCTCCATGCAACACCCCTCTCTTCCCTGTTAAAAAGCGAACTGTTAAGGGCCAACCCGACCAATACCGTATGGTACAGGACCTCCGTGCTGTTAACGAGGTAACCATAAAGGACACTGCTATTGTTCCAAACCCTCATACCCTTTTGTCCCAAGTGCCACCAACTTCAACAATTTTTACTGTTGTGGATCTGGCTAATGCCTTTTTCAGTGTTCCCCTTGATCCCTCCTGCCGTTTTCTCTTCGCCTTCACACATGAAGGACAACAATATACCTGGACTGTTATGCCTCAGGGAGCTCAAAACTCTCCCACACAGTTTGCTCATGCCATGTCTCTAGTTTTGGATCCCTGGCAGAAATCTCATCTGGATGTTATTCTACTTCAATATGTTGATGACCTCCTTCTCTGTGCTCCTAATTTGCTTATTGCAGAGCGTGACTCAGAAGATCTCCTATGTTTCCTCGCTGCTGCAGGTTGCAAGGCCTCAAAATCAAAGCTACAATGGTGCCGGCCCTCTGTGGTCTTCTTGGGACATTGCCTTTCCCATGGCACCAAACATCTAACCTCACAACGGGTGCAAGCTATCCTGCAACTCCCATTACCTGCAACTCATCACTCTCTTCATGCTTTCTTGGGACTCATCACATACTGCAGGTCCTGGATACCTGAAGCATCCAAACTCATGCAGCCACTCTATGATGCCCTCAGGAGTGAGCCCTTTCACCTCACTGAAGAAACTATTAACTGTTTCCATACTCTGAAAAGAGCTATTGCTTCTGCACCTGCTTTGGGCCTACCCAACTACCAACTCTCTTTCAATTTGTTTGTCTCTGAGAAATCAGGACATGCTTCCGGAGTCCTTACTCAGAAACATGGGTCCAGACAACGGCCTATTGGCTATTTTTCCTGCATGCTTGACCCTGTTGCAAGGGGCAGCCCCTCTTGCCTCCGTGCTGTGTTTGCCGCCAGTGCCCTCCTGGACAAGACTAATGACTTTGTTCTTGGCCATCACCTCACAGTGTTGGCCCCTCATGACATTACTGCTATCCTGCAACAAGTTCAACCCAAGCACCTTTCCTCCCAACGCCACCTCCGCCTGCAAACCTCCTTGCTTTTACCTGACAATGTGAAACTCCAGAGATGCCTTACCCTGAATCCAGCCACTCTTCTGCCACTTCCCAAGGGGGGAATTGTGTACCACTGGTATAGCCTGGATATCAACCCAGAAGTTCTAGCAGATCTGCAACTACCTGCACTTGCACCTCCACATGATGAACAATCAGTGGCCCTACTCCACTGTACTTTGTGGATTAGGGATGAACCAGGCCCTGATATGAATTACGAGGCAGAAGTATTCCAACTCAAAGAAATCCAAATTACCCTGACTGACTTGTTTTGGGACCTCACAGGTACCATGCTTATCTTGGTCCACCTCCCAGAGAGTGTGACACATCTCTATCACCATTGGGAAACATCGATCCCACACATATCTCTCACCAGACCCCCCGACATCTCGTGGAAAGACCTAGGCCCGATGGCCAAAACCTGGAGTCAAATGACCCCAGAACAACTGACTTCTACGAGAATCAACAAAAAGACTATTAATTACTGTACAACTGGGTACCCCAGGTACCATACAGAAGCCTGTGAGGATCCACTCACCACAGACTGTGACCTCGATATCCCTCATGATTGCTTTGAACAAATGAAAATGGAAACTACACATCTACCAACTGTCTATGAAGCTGCACTACTCAACCCGGACCAAACATTATTTGTGGATGGGTCAAGATTTGCTGATGAACAAGGGCAATATCACACTGGGTATGCAGTTACCACAGAATGTCAAGTGTTACAAGCAGCTGCCCTACAACCAACTAAGTCTGCTCAAGAAGCTGAATTGACAGCCCTAACTGTGGCTTGCAAATTGTCTGAAGGGTTGCGTGTCAACATTTACACGGATTCAAGATATGCCTTGGGAGTAGCACATGATTTTGGCTTAATTTGGAAGACCAGAGGATTTCTTACGGCCACTGGTACCCCAGTAAAGCATGGGGCAGCCATTGCAGAGCTGATGGACGCATTGGAACTTCCAGCTGAGGTGGCAGTACTGAAGGTAAAAGCCCATGGAAGACTAGACACAGAAGAAGCACGTGGCAATCACCTAGCTGATCAAGCAGCTAAAGAAGCAGCACGGCAAAGATGGGAAGTGGACAG